CGAACCGCACGAAAAGTCTTGGTGAATTGAACAACTACACGCCCACGTCCCCAAAAGCACACTTGCTTTATGAATCTCCATAAAAACAGACTCAAGACGGCTGGGATACTGGCCAGATTAGCAAAGACTGGCCGATATAAAGTAGACTTCATTTATTCACTTATTTATTCAAATTGCAGATGACCTTCATGAAAACGGTTTCTCGCAGCGTGATAACGGCAAAAGCTACATCACAAAAATCAGTCAATACAAATATACGCGATGGTGAATGATGAACGCAGACCACCATGCACACAAATGTATTCACATAGAATATATGTGATCATCACTGTGCTACCAAATTTCACATCAACAAGAAGACGAACGCGCCAAGCTGTGTGAGATGGAGCTTTCACATACTTGGGTAAATAGTAGCGCGGCATACACAATGTACAAAGACTGGACAAACTCAGAGGAGTAGCCACCGCTGGCTACTCCTGTACCGTTACGTGCAACAATGAAAAAAAAAGGGAGATCATTTAGCTTCGCCTTTAAGAGTTGAACGCTATATCAGTATCCTTCTTTTAGTGCGTACTTCAAACACTTAGTGCATGGAATATTTTCGAACTTGATGTGCATCCACTGCGTGGCCTTAAGGGAATATGTCAGCGCAGTAACGTGTGTGCCTCGTGTAGTAGATGACTGGATTTAAACCATGGAGTCATTATGATAATCACATGTACTGATGGATGGTTGCATTGTACCCTAGAAATACTCGTTGGTGCTACAATACTTCATGTTGTATTGTAAAGTCTGCAGTACGCATGTGTTTGTAAAACATTAAAGTTACTTTCATTGCATTTCCAAACAGATGACGTTATTTTCATTATATTCTAAAGCAGACGTGTGGCTGTATGGTAGACCTGCCACGCAAGCGACCCGGGTTAGATTCCAACTCGGACCCAGATTTATTTATTAGTTATTTTATTTGCATCTCTCTAGATTTTTCGGTAACTTCCAAGATGATAATTTTTCGATCACAACCAAAGACGCCAACGCCGTAATTTGAGTGAAATGAGCTGTCTAACGCTGTCGCGTTAAAAGGAGAGACACATTGTAATGCAAAGCACGTCAGTGAGCTTCTTGTTACAAGTTGTTCGGTATGATGACATAGTTTAGCAGAGTGATTGACGACGCTGCAGCGCGCCGTTGAGCCCGACACGCTGCAGCATCGTTTACTACGCAATGAAGTTACGTGTCTGCATATCGTTAACTTAACGTTGCACGTGCTCATCGAGTGTACAGCGCTCGAAACCCACTTTGTCAGGGAGATCAGCCGTCGACACGATCGAGCTGTCCGTCATGTTTGAAAGACAGCAGCGACGTAGCCGTCAGCAGTCTTACAGTGCAGCAACGCCAAAGTGATCTCGCTCTCACCATTCTTCCCCCACGCACTCTTTCTTTCTGATACAAGAGCTGTAGGCCGCGTATGTGTCACTCGCGTGAGTTAGTGACAAGCAACTGCATGGCGTCAACGATGTCCTGGAAGATACAGGTGTGCCCGCCCCGCCGCGGCGGTCTAGTGTCTAAGGTACTCGGCTGCTGACCCGCAGGCCGCTGGATCGAATCCCGGCTGTGGCGGCTGCGTTTTCAATGGAGGCGGAAATGCTGTAGGCCCGTGTGCTCAAATTTGAGTGCACGTTAAAGGATCCCAGGTGGTTGAAATTTCCGGAGCCCTCCATTACGGCGTCTCTGATAAACATATGGGGGTTTTAGGATGTTAAAAACCTCGCATATTAATCAAGAAACAGGTGCACGTCATAGGTTAAACGTACCGCTCCTAATCAGGTCACGGAGTTGCGCAGTGTTCTGCCCAACGCCTAATTGGATGTCTCTAACCACGTGGTATCTCATGGCTTCCGCACGAACTGAGAGATGCTGTTTATGGAACCGGGATATATAAGACGGTAAGTTGGGCCAGTTGGTTAGGGTCCATCGTGAACTTACTTACAGCGCAACACCAGACAAAATACAGGACAGGGAAGGAGCAAAAGCGCCGTCTTTTCTTTCTCTTTTGCTCGTTCCCTGTCCTGTATTTTTTCTGGCGTTGCGATGTAAGTAAGTTCACGATATATGTATTAGGGCGAAAGACTTGCATACCTGATCAAACGTGACCATTGGACAGTTGGCGTCGACATGATTGATTGACGCAAAAAAAATGATCATGTCATGCCGTCACTGCATGACTTCATCATGATCTGACAGATAGCTAAAATTTGCGAAGTCATCATGCTGACCCAATGACGCCGCGTGATGACGTTACCACATGACGTGTTCGCTTGGTCAAAGTTGGGCCGATGACGGAGGCTATACAAAACCAGGTGAGGTTGATCTTTTGCTTGTGAAATCCCGTAATTGAAATTAGAATTTTCATACCACTCATTACTTTCATTTTCCGATACCTTAGATAAGAAAGAAAATCGAAGCCTTCAACCGGACATCTCTCGCGCGTTCATTGGCCGTTACCTTGCAGGTTTACTGGTGGGAACTACCGCCTGACCCTTGTGGCGTGTCATTTTAGTGCTCTGCATAGGTGAAACTGAGAAGGGTTTCGGGCAGTTCAGGCTAGTTTGCCACCATCTTCACACTCCAATCTTTTGTCTATCATTTTCTTTCCTTGTGACTGATTAGCACGCCATAACAGTGATTCAGATTGACCTCTTAACCTTTCTACCTCAATTAATACACGTATCTATCATTCTCTTTTTTGTACATGCATGTAAGGTCAACCTGTATTCTATATTTGTGTCTAGAAGCTACCATTAGCGTGTTAACAGCTATCCAGGTCTGTGATTCGATTTGGGGAAATTAACGTCTCAAAACCATCATATGATTATGAGAGACGTCGTAGTGAAGGGCTCCGGAAATTTTGATCACCTGGGGTTCTTTATCGTGCACCCAAATCTGAGCACATGGGCCTATACAACATTTCCGCCTCCATCGGAAATGCAGCCGCCGCAGCCGGAATTCGATCCCGCGACCTGCGGGTCAGCAGCCGAGTACCGTAGTTACTAGACCACCGCGGCGGAGCTATCCTGGTTTATGAAACACTTGGGGTTTGCCAGAATAAGTCACGTAAAAGTATGGGTCCTATGATTGGTCGTTGTGCACCCGTATACAAAGCCGTGTGCTCCATAAGACCTGTTTTTTTAATTGCAAAGGGGTACTTCGGTGCAGTGACCACCGATGAGCGGACATCTGTAAGACCACAGGGGACGTCGGCCGCGAATTGCACACAACACGAGCAAGTGGGTCGCGGCTGCCGACGTGTCACGTGCGTGAACGAACGCTTGTTCTGTTATATCGCACGAGCGTAGGCTTGACTTGAGGTCGACCGACGTGATGGGGCAATCGTGGGTGTTGTCATCGTGAGCGTGATTGAGTTCACAGTCGTGCAAGCGCAGGTACGCAACGTGAAAGTTTGTCGCGTCGCTGCCACGTTCTATACGGGCACACCATTAGAAGTGAAATGCAGAGGGAAGTGGAGTTGTATTGGCGTTACAATGCTGGACGATGATAGGGACGTTTTCTGCGTGGCTCGCACCCTGAACACAAAGTGTAGCTTAGAGGGGTGATCGAGAGACAAAAGGGCAGGTCTCCACGTAGGCGCCGCTGTCAAAAGGAGCGGCGGGCGCGGTTTAAAAGGCCCCGCGCCGAGGCGCGTCGCTTTGTGTGGGCTTTTTTATGCAGACGGCGACAGTGTCCAGTGCTTGAGTGAAGGACATTGGTGGGAGGACGCTGGCTCCGATACACCAGCTTTGCTACACACGCAGCTTTCAATGCATCATGCAGTATTGGTGTAACGAAAAAAAAAATGGAAGAAGCAATTGTGCCATTCTTCTTACTCTTCGATTCTCTCAAGAGTTCATTCCTACATGTGTAAGGGCCGTGTAAGAATTAAGAACACACACAATCACAAACCACACATGCCATCAGACTTCACCAATGAAATTGCAATGCTAATCATGGAGAAAAGGGATTAATTAAAAAACGTAAGGTCATTATTAAATTATCCTGTCAACTCGAAGGTGAAAGTCATGGTTTACTTATTTTCCTTCGCAGAAGATTGTATTGAACAGCCCCTTCCTCTCACCCCGCAAGTTTTGTATGTCAACGTGGTTTTCCACTGCCTCAGAGATCGGTCCACTTTTCACCAAGCGGTGATGTCATGCGTGTGGCGTCATAATGTGACGTCATGATGTGTAGCATCGTCACATAATGTTTTTTTTTATGACTCGTGTTGACGCCTACACCACCGATGCCGATGGTCACTTTTTGCATTTGACGAGCTTTCAAAACTAATAATAATGAATGGGGTCGCCAGATCTTTGCGTCTATATAAAAAACCAGATGTGATTATGAGACGCCGCCGGGGGAAACTCCGGGGAGCTCTGCGGCGTGTTGTTTTTTTTTTTTTTACGCGCACGAAAATGTAAGCGTCAATCGAAACAAACAGCCTCAGTGAAGCAAAATAAAGGCTTCTATTAGCCAGCATACGCGGTGCCATTCATATTCGGCCAAAAACATGCATGCAGATTCCACCAATACGGAGGGTGTCGTTGCTCTATCAACAGCCCAGCCGTAACACGAACTACAACACTCGTGAGCAAAAGCGGACCATCAGTCGGGTGTCCTTCCGCGGTTTCACAACGGCGCCATTGCGAATCATCCGTTTACGTAACCGTTTCCCAAGATGAAAACGCCAATGTGCGCGCAAGTGAGTGAGTGGGCTAAGGACAATGGACGAGCGCCACCTCCACACGGCGAAACACAATGCTCGGGGACGTTGAAGCGCACATGCATACACCGAGACGCGTCTTCCATGGCGCATTTATAAAAGCTCCTCTTCGGGCCTTATACGTCAGCAAGGTTATCGCACAACACGGATTCCGCGCGTCGGGGCGTGACGAATCGCGCTTACGCGCTGGCGCATCGGAACGCCGCCCATAGAACACGGCGCGCATACCGCATCGCGATGTAACGGAGGTAGCTGGAGCGAGAAGACAGTGACCCGCTAACCGTGATTGCTCGGGGGCGCGCTTATAGCGGGATGTCCCGCCAGCAGCGGCAAGGGTGCAGGACAAGCCTCGGCTCACGCTTCCTGCTGCTGGTCTCGTCCGCTTTCGCAGCACGGTGTGTCTACTACGTACACACACCGCCCGCTTGCTCAGCATCACCCATCCAGAAAGAAGGTGTGCTGGCAGCGGGCGGAGGGGGTCCCCCTCGGGCGAGTCTCGCCCCACACCAACTCGGATGGCTGGCGGGCAGGCGGCGGCCTTTCTCCACTCTCCCTGGTCGCGGCAACCGAACCGCATTCACGCGCGCTGCCTTCCTGCGATTCCCGGCGCTCGGATATTATTTTCACCGGTTGGTCCCACACCCGCCCCAAAAGATCTGCTTGCGCGCGCGTGAGTGTTGTGTGTGTTAGGTTGGTCACTCATTTTCGACCTTCGACCATTGATGCCCCGATCATTACTCTCGTTCGGCCTGCCATCCGGCGCCCGCATCTCGGTGTCATCATCACCCGTGGAAAGAGCATTCACCTGGATACGGTACCCTTCCACATTTCGTCGGCAACTAGCAAGGTTTGCAATATCATCTGTGATCTCAGTGTTGGTGTGACTATTCATTTCATTTAGGAGACGTAAGAACTGTCTGCAACATCTTGACGCCGAGTGGTGTCATTCCACACTCATCGCTAACGTTGACTCTGCGAAAATTGCGGCTAACCGCCGGGTGTGCCACGACGCTGTGAGTTCCTTGTAATAATCTCTGTTGTGTGTTGTTGAGCGGCGGCGTGAAATTGCCGTGCGGAATCTTCCGGAGGAAGTGGAGGGATGAGAAGAGACTGATCTTCGCCCTTTCGGAGACAGTGATAGGTGACATTGGATGCAAGCATCGAAAGTGAGGATAAAAATGGAAGTGCTTCAAGTGAGTTTCTTTTTTTTATACGTGTATTGAGGACACTGTGTTGCACAAGTTGGTATAGCATCGGTGCCCTTCTGCTAATGCAACATGGACCAGTCTTTCACGTGTGCGCTAAATGTAGAATGGAGACATCGGTCTTCAACACCTTTGTCATAGTTTTGGTGACTACTTCTTTCTGAACACATTTCCTCTCAAAACGTTTTTATACGCTTTATTAGCTGTAGCTGCTTTTAATTCCTACCGTGTTTTTTTTTCTTTCATTTACAACATGCAATAACATTCATGTTCCAGATACTGCTAGCAGTGGTACAGGCGCTAATGTCTTATCTAACAAAGTGCAGCTTTGGTTTGTCTGGTCTAATTCAGCCTGTAAGTAATTGATTTGTGGGGTTTAACGTCCCAAAACCACCATATGATTATGAGAGACGCCGTAGCGGAGGGCTCCGGAAATTTCGACCACCCGGGGTTATTTAACGTGCACCCAAATCTCAGTACACGGGCCTACAACAGTTCCGCCTCCATCGGAAATGCAGCCGTCACGGCCGGGATTTGATCCCGTGACCTGCGGGTCAGCAGCCGAGTACCCATACGATTGAATTCCCGAGAAAGTTTGCTGAGGGCTGCAAAGTTGCTTGGTAGACTAGCGTGCACTGCGTGTTTCTTATTATTTTGACAAGCTTACTTAACAGCTGAAGTCGTGTTCCTTTGTAACTACACATGTGTAACTTCACTGTCGCGGTGACTACGCTATAGAAACATGCAGTAGACTGCACATTTCGGACAGCAATCAAACAGTACGCCCACCAGCTATTCGTAACGTTAAATTTATTTCTAAGTAATTACTAACTCTAAATTGATATTCGGCTGCAATATGCGCGACCAACACCCTCATCGATGTACTTTTTCAAACGTGTTGTACATTCTATGATTGGGCTACGCATACGAGAAAGTAAAATATTGCAGTAGTGCCCAAAATAGTTGTTCTTGCCTATGCCCTTCTACAGCGGCGCTAAATTTGACGCCAAGAATAAAGCAGCCTTACATCATGTGCGTTGAAATGATTTACGATGTAGCCCTTTCCCCAAGGCTACATGCATACGCTAAGCATCCCACGTGAAGACGTGCGTGGGTATTTGCGAGGCCCGGAATAAACGTTCAGCCACACACAATGCTATGACGGCGAATGCCCTGCTAAACTTTTGTAGATTTTTCCGCATCTGTTTCGCGTTCATGAAAAAAAAAAATAACGGAGGTATGGGTGGGGCGGGAAGTCGTATGTATATGCTATATTGTCAGGGTTGCGCTCACAGATTATATGCTAATGCACCAATTGTGTGCTACGTTCGGCAACATTTTGCCGAGTTTTCATATTAGGAACTTTTCATTATCTGTTCGCTTCCACTCAATTCAGTGTAATCCGCATTTGCAGACAAACGATTATCCAGTCTTGAAAATTGGTGCCAAAATTATTCGCACAGAGCTAGTGGGAGACCGATTTTTGAAGTCCCTCCTGTGATATTTTGTCTCTACTCAATACTATGCCCTAGCTTACATGTAGCAAACGGGGCCGTTTGCTATTCGAAACACAAGAAATTGTGACTTGAGCATGTATCATTGTTTTTCTATTTCTGTTCTTCGAAACAAGCCACTTGTGATGCATTATCTATGCGCCATTATGCGTCAAAACTGTGAGCACGTTGTAGTACTGAGTTATTTTCATTTTGTGGACGAAGGTAAACCGCTACGCATAGATTAAATACCACGACTCCTATAACTAAATTTAAACCATTCCACTTTGGAGAATTAATTTCTAAAAGTACGACAAGTTCGCTTTCTGCAACTTGCCGTTTACTTCTAACGTGGAGGGCTGTGCCGAAACTAAGTGTTCTCGTGCTAGATTGGGCCCCAAATTCATAAACTGTTTATTACGAACGGCACTCCGCGCTTCCTTCCAGACAGCGCCAGAAATAAGAGAAGTGACGCTGTAAGACACGAGAGCAGACAAGGACGGCCGCCCCTTCTGGCGTGTAACCTAGCTTCCTCGAAACGCGTACAAAGAAATGAAGAAGAGGTGAACGCGACAGCAGCGTGTGTGGCTCGTCCTCCTCCTTACGTCCGCGAGACTATTTTTATTACTTTCTTCCGCCTGTGGCGCGCACATATGCGTGCCGTGCACAGCAGGAACGCTTCCCGCTACTAAGTCCGGTCTGCTTTACGTTTTCTTCCTTCCGCGTACAGAGGAATGGAATCTCGGCGATCCTCCTCGGGGCACTGCTGGCCGTGCTCCACAGCGCCCAAGGCATTCGCCCCAAGGACAACCCAGTGGTGTTCACCAGATCGGGCTACGTGATGGGCCGGACCAACGTGTTCTTCAACAAGCCCATCGACACCTTCCTGGGCATTCCGTTCGCCGAGCCGCCACTGCGGGAACTCCGTTTTCGCGAGCCGATGCCGGTAAAGCAGTGGGAAGGAATCTACAATGCGGTACAGATGCCCTTTCCTTGCCTTCAGTATGACACTTTTGTCACCAAGAATATCACCATCGACGCCTCCAACAGCACCGAAGACTGCCTCTACCTGAACGTGTGGACTCCCGCGTTACACTGCAACACCATCGAAAACTGCGGCGCCAAGAGCGTCATCGTGTTCTTCCACGGTGGTGGCTTCGACACTGGAGGCAACAGCTACTTCTTCTACGACGGGACGCAGCTGGCAGCCCTGGGCGACGTCGTGGTCGTGGTTCCCAACTACCGCCTTGGGGTCTTCGGCTTTCTGAGCGCGGACCACCCCGACGCGCCCGGAAACATGGGGCTCCTGGACCAGCTGGCGGCACTCACGTGGGTCCGGGACAACATCGTCCACTTCGGCGGTCGTCCCGAGTCGGTGACCCTGATGGGCCAGAGCGCCGGCGCCATGTCGGTCGGCTTCCACATGCTGTCACCGCTCAGTCGGGGTCTCTTCAAGCGGGCGATCTTGCAGAGCGGTAGCCCGTACCTTCTGCAGCCAGAGAGTCTCAAAGCGGGCGTCGAGCGAGTCCAGCAGCTCGCAGAGGCCGTGGGCTGCGCCGACGAGAACGTGACGCTGTCCGATCACCGGCACCACGTGCTCGAGTGTCTGCGATGGGCCAACGCTTCGACCCTGATGGCGGCCAACAGGGAGCTGAACGTGTTGAATCCGGCCAGTTACTTCCCTTCCTACGGAGACAACTTCCTGCCGGACGATCCCCGCACGCTTATCGAACGTGGCCAGATTGCGGACGTTGACGTCATCATCGGAACCAACAGGAACGAGGGCAGCCCATTTGTCAACTACTTCATGGTCAAGGTCAGATCGATAAGGCCTGATTATCACTTTTACTATCGTATTACATCTTACGTCTATATGATATCCTGTGTAATCCATCAACTTTTTTTTTTCATTTCCCTGTTTACTTCCTGTGCATACTTCCAACTTCTGTTTTTATTGCTTCCTTCGTAAAAGGGAGCATGCGTAGTCACTTTAACCTTGAATAAAGTCAGCCGATCCTAGTGGGCATCGTCAAATAATATAACAAGATATAACGACGTAGACAGTGCCACAGCACTGTAAACCGATCATGCACACACCTTCCTTTCCTTCTTTCTTAACGCTGCTTTTAACGACGCTTTCCTGCTATGTTGTTGTTGTTCGGTGCAATTAAGGATGCCTCCTTTCCCCAATCTTGCATTCAAGGTTTTGCGCCAAGAGGACCCGAGACTCCTGACTCGTGACGAAGTGGGCTTCTACCTTATCCTGCTCTTTCAACACGTGTTGGGCGAGAGTCCGCGCGAAGTGACGTCGCACTATTTGCGTGACGTCAGACCGGAAGACGGTCGCGGAGCGCTGGCGGCCGCTGGTGACGCCATCGGAGACTTCCTGTTCCAATGCCCGGTCAACTACTTCGCCGAGAACCTGGCGGCCAGGAACCGCACGGTGTACATGTACTACTTCGACCACCGACCCTCGTACAGCTGGTGGAGCGACTGGCTGGGCGTCGCCCACTTCGACGAGTTCTTCTTCGTGTTCGGCACGCTGTTCCGAGACATGCGAATGTCCACCATGGAGGAACTCGAGTTCAGCTCCAAGCTCATCCAGATATGGTCCACGTTCGCCAGGAAAGGGTGAGTGTGAACGGCAGCTCACCATTCTCGGTTCGAGGAGATTAATTCAGTTTCGGCGTGTTTATCTTTGTATAAAACGTACATGCTCACATAATCACACAGGAGGAGTTCTCGGAGCACCTGACAGAAGGCGGACTTTCTGTATAAAATGCGTGTTATATGTACTAGTACATCACACCAATTGGAACAACAGTGCTATATCATGAAAATGTTGTACAAACTTAAAATAGCCGAAAGAATACTATAGCGAGTACAAAAACACATGTTTAGGATACTTTACAGCAGATTTAACCAAAAGTGTTGACTAAGTAAAGTCTGGGCGAAAAAAAAAAGATAACCAAAATTAGCACGTGCGGAAGTAAAAAGGGTATACAAGAAATTCAAAAAAAATTATCAGGTTATACGCGTCAAAACCAAGCTATTATCATAGAGAAATAAAAAAAGTCTTCTTCTTTCTTTATGCTACTATATCGAAGCAGGACGTCGATGGTGGCTCGAGGCTGCGAATTCATGATTTGGAGCTTTTAGGGGCGAAGCTCCTTATGGCGTGGCTTGGGCGTTTCTCGTGGTACGTAACCACCAGTGGCACATAACCGATATAGGTATAACATTTGACCTCCAAGGTGGTGCCGGTGAGAGATTTCTTCTGTGCGTTGTTTAACAATAAAAAAGAGTGCTCAATGTACATGCCAATGGCTGCTAATGGGGAATGAGAGACAGGAGCATTCGGCTTTTAGTCAACGCACACGCTGCGATCCCCATTAGCAGCCATTGGCATGTACATTGAGCACTATCGGACAAGAAAGGGTTGCTACATTATACTCGCTGGGTGTAACCTCCTTAATTTTAGAAAGGTTTAGCGAGCGTTGAGCCGCAGGGCCATGAATACAATGAACTAGTATATACCACGAATGAATTCGAGGTGGTTAAATGGGGGAAGCAGATACGAAGCGCAAGCCGTAAGAAATTAAAAGCTGAATCCTCCTGTCTCTCATTTCACATTAGCAGCCACTGGCATGTACATTGAGCACTATCTGACAGGGAAAGGTTGCTACGTTATACTCGCTGGACGTAACCTCTTTGGTTTTAGAAAGGTTTAGCGAGCATTGGGCCGCAGTGCCATGAATACAGTGTACTAGTATATACCATGAACTCAAGGTGGTTGAAGGTGGGAAGTAGACCCGAAGCGCAAGCCGTAAGAAAGTGTGCGTGTGCCACCTCTCGTTTAGTCCTTGGATTGTGCACTGAATGGCGGTGCTTCTATATGGGGAATATATGATAAAAAGATGCGAGATGGTGGGACTTGGAGTGTTGAATAGATGGACGAACGGACACACAGACAGATGCATGGATGGACGCATGAACGGACGCAGGAGTGGATGCATGAACGAACGCAGGGACGGGCGCACGAACAGACGCATGGAAGGTCACACAGACGGACGCATGGACGGACGAATGCTTCGCCCCACTCTCCATCATTCACTCCGTGGATATGCTGCCATTTTTTTTGTTTAATCTGCCCGTGAAACAATGTTCACGATCAATTTTGCAAGCGAGCTTCATCGAAATGTGGCCTCCTTTACCGGAAATGAAATGCGCACCATAGTGCTTCGTAGCACCGGTCGCAACCTCCCAGTCCTTACAAGCTTCAGAAAAAGGTTACAACTGCGTGAATGAGACGCCACGTAAGAAACAAACTCGCACACTCGAAGCGCAACGTGTGTGTGTGCATCTTTCTATGTTTGTTGCATGGTGTCTTATTCGCGCAAGTGTAACCGTTTTCTGAAAAAATGACCCAACAAGACCAACAACATGTATTTACCATGGCAATTGGCGATCGGTTGAACCGCAGCACTCGTTGCCGATTTTCACTGGTTATGTCGTCACAGTGGTCGTATTGGAGCACACTCAGTGTTGTACAGGCTCAAACCTGTCTGCTTATATAAATCTTCACCATGATTACTACATTATTCCCTACATGACTAAGGCTTCCCCGACGAATCTTAATTTGACCCGTTTTTTCGCAAGCTGGTTCAATCTTGTTGTCTGTAAACTTCCGATTGCACCATGAATCTAATTTAATCATACCGTCCTTGACAACGCGCCCCTCTCCCTTGGTACCCATTCTGTCGCGCAAATGAGCCACCGGTCATCCACACCCTGCGCACTGCATAACTTGACTGGTTCCATATGTGCGTATAACAACGATGTCCAATTGAAGCCTTGATTGCTTTAAACACGGTAGGCCTTAAAAATTCTTTACACCTTGCAAAATAACAACTTATTCATTCCCAGTGTCCGTAACTATACCGTGTTTCATACATCAGGAACAATGCTGCGAAGGCTATGCAAGAAGTTCAGCCAGCAACATGCGTGAATACGCACATCTTGCGCTTGGCATTCGTCGTTAACGCTCGTGCGAGCCCAGTATGCAAGCCCGCACGTGACTCGTTGCGATGGGAGGAATGGATGTGAAACTTTACTGAATGTCCTAAGGTGAGCGACTCAGCACGCAGAGGCCAGATACCACGTTGGGACAGTAAGACCATGCCCGACCACCGCATCGTGGACCCTCTCGATAGTCAAGGCTCTTGACAGAAGGTAGCCACACCTGTACTGGTTGATTTGTTCCATCAAATAAAACACCGAAAAGTTAAAAAAACGAACAGACGCTGTGTTCCAGATTGGCTTATTTCCAACCGTATAACGGGGTATATTCATAGCTTAGGCACAAAGCCTCTTCGTTTATTACTCAGGTTAAAGACAAAAAGAAATCATATTACGGATGGTAAAATTGTTGGACTATTTATTTATGTGAACTCATCTACTGCTATAGATGTCATGCTTTAGTATACACGGCACTGCACTTGATGTATAAAGCGGAATATACATCTAGTTGATACAGTGTTCAGTGGAAACGAATACAAAAAAAAGCGTACCTGCCTAACTCGCGTTTGTTTTCCGATCTTTTTCCGGTCAACGCAACCTCCTCGACAGGCTGGTCACGTTTATTTGTGGCCCGATGAGAAAGGTAAATGAGTGTCAATAATACGGCGATTGTTAAACGTTACTTGAATACAATTACCGCAGTAAGTGGTCAAAATTCCTTTGCTGAACCTTCCTCAACATAGTGTCAAAAAACGATCTGTGGAATATTCGCTATGTTTCCCGTGCCTGAATCAGAATTTTGGTTCACGAAAATAGGCACAACACAAAAATAATGCGCATTGGCTTAATTTTTTTTAGGATGAACAGTTTTGTGCGTTCATTAATAGGAATGTGCAGCGAGTCGGCCTTATACAGGTTACTGAGGATTCGGGGATGAAACAATAACGCTATTGCACGTCGAGCAAGCCGCCATGCTCAAATGACCTCCTCTATCGGAGCCTATTGTTGAAGGCACCGCCGTTACGAAACGTCAATAATATTTTATCTACTCGCACACTTATTCCTCTATCGTGCGTGAATTTCGCGATTTCTGGAGCATAACTCGCAGGGAAACCGCGGTGCACGTTCTCCGTTTCCAGAACGTAACGCTGCCGGCAAAAAAAAAAGAAGAAAAAAACGCGAAACGCATTTTCGGTCCTCCCTGCAGGCTATAGAAACGAGCGCGAATGCAAATTTCGCGCGGAATTCTAGGCCGCGCTCGTCGTGTGTGATTTGTATAAACGTGCCGTGGCCCCCCACCGTTTTTCGCGTCTACTGTTCGGAGCAGATTAGTTATGCGTGCACGAATGCACGTGCACGCGCGCAGAGACTCAGAAAAGAGACACGAGAGAAACGAAAATTGACTGACACGCTCCCCCCAAAAAAAGGAGGGCTTGGCGACCCTGAAGAGAAGCATGACCTTTTTGCCGTCTCTTCGATGCTCAGCGCCAACCGCGCCCCGCAGAAGTGTGCGCTTCTAAGTCTCTCCCGCTGTGCGCCCGCCCCGAGCACTCAAAAGCGTCGGCTGCTCGAAAAGGAATACATTAAGCGCCCATCGTGGACCGCCGAAGGACGCGGCCAAACGGTCAATCTGAGAGCGTGTTTACGTTGCTCATTCAATCCACGCGATGAAACATGCGCTACGTCGCGCGGAAATTATCGGCTATGCCGCCAGTCGACGCTTTGATAGCGACCTTCCTCCGCTTGTCAAGTTCTGGCATCTTCTTTATTTCGATCGTCGCTCGAACGAAATGGGGAGTGGGAGGCCATCAAAAGTTCAAATGCGTGTAGCGTACGTGAGAGCGCCTTCCTACGCGATGTTATGATGGTCACGTCGCGTGAAAAGAAAGCGAATAAACGTCGCGCCAGAATGAAGAGGAAAAACACTTGGGGAGGAAGAAGAATGGCCTGGCGAGGAATGCCCTTCGGATCCGGATTTAGAATTAGCGCTCGGCTCGCCAGATGCTTCTCGTGTCTCCGCGGCTAAAGAGGTTAGTCCCGCAACCGACGAGGCAGAAAAGCTAGCAGCAGTCATCCGCGAACGTTTTCGTTGGCGTAGGTTCGCTCTTTCTGCCAGTTCCTGGGTGTCCCAAGCGGGGACCTTTTAGGGGGCGAAGCTTCTTATGGTTGGCTTGTGCGTCCCTCGTTGTAGTGCGTAACCACAGGTGGCACATACCCGAAAGAGAGGTCCTTAGAATGTCCGCTGGATGGCGGCACTTTTATATGATGAATGCATGATGAAAAGATGTGAGATGGCTGTACTTGGAGACGGTTCAATAGGTAGACGCATGGACATACAGATGGACGGATGAACGCATGGACGGAGAGACGGTCGCACGAACAGATGCACAGACGGACAGTCATACAGATGAATGGACAGACGGAAGTACGGGTGGACGCACCGACGGTCACACTGATGAACGGACACACGGACGGACGCATTGACGGACCGAAGCAAGAACGAATGGATGGACGGAAGCACGTACGGACTGACGAACGCTTCGCCCCACCAATCATCATTCACTCCATGAATATGCTGTGATTTTTTGTTTTGATTGATTGATTTGTGCGGTTTAACGTCCCAAAACCACCATTTGATTATGAGAGACGCCGTAGTGGAGGGCTCCGGAAACTTTGACCACCTGGGGTTCTTTGACGTGCACCCAAATCTGAGCAAACGGGCCTACAACGTTTCCGCCTCCATCGGAAATGCAGCCGCCGCAGCCGGTATTCGATCCCGCGACCTGCGGGTCAGCAGCCGAGTACCTTAGCCACTAGACCACCGCGGCGGGGCTTTTGTTTTGTTTTAACCTTTTCGTACGACCTGCTTACGACGGATTAGTCATTTTACATGAGTATAGTACGTTGGACATTATAACGAAGAGCGCAGCGGGGCGCCGTCTTTTATTTAAAGAGAGGTTGCGCGGCTACTCAAGGCTGCGCGCTGTTAAGCCACAACGCGTATACGTGTCGGCAGGCCTTAAGCAACCTCTGAAAATACGACGAATAAGCACGCTGTTATCTCCTGGCGCTTTCCGTCCTCTCGGCACAACGTCAGCAGTCTGTTCACATGACGTCACGAGGAAATACGCTCTTGATTGGTTCATACATACGCGCGATACCAGCTGTACATTGTATCCTGCCAAGTTTTGTACTATTGTAGCACGCCCGTTGCGCCTTGTCTCGCATGACTATCATGAGCGATAAACTGATTTCACTTTTTTTCTGTGCGTTTATGGCTACACAAGCAGAGATAACTACGTGTAACCGAAAAGAGTGAATTTAGTGCTGACGTTGTTATGAACAAGGGGCGAGGAGCACATTGCGCCTGTAGGAAGGGTAGTGAAGGCGGCAAAGAAACGACTCCCTCGTCTTTTAACTCGCAGTAGCTTAGGTATACCCTTTAAGCTAGAAAACGGCTGTATATGACACACAGAAGAAAAAGAAGCGATTGGTGAGCGGAATGCTTTTCTTTTTACTAGTGCGGAAGGAACGCGGGTACCGTTTCCGGTGTCGTGAGCAAAGTGCGTGCCGCAGTTCTCGTTGCGCCCGTGCGCCTTGCGTGGTGGGCTGTACTAACGGTATTTACACAACTGTGTGCACACGAGTCTCACTTCCAGTTGTGCTTCTCAATCGCCTTCGAGCGCACTGCGAGTTTTCTGCACAAGCATGATCGGTGAATACCCAGTGAACCGGTGTACAGCCTGCAGGCACAATCGCTTTCGCGCGATGTCTGTTCAATTAGCTCATGGTTTCCAACTGTCGCCGCTTGTTGCACGAAGAAATAAAGAGAGTTCGACCTGTACGTGCGTATGATACAGAACGACCGCGTAGCCGGAGGCGGTCAGCGTCCGAACGAGCAGGTTAGCACGTTCGCGGGCGTACACCAACTACACAATTTGCTTTTATTGCGATCCCCGAGCGTAAATGGTGACGATAACGACTAAAAAATAATAGCACGCAGAGAGCAGACTTGTGCGACCTCGCCGAATCACGACCTGATTTCCAACTAAGTTGTGTGCATTGTTCAAGTATAGTAGAAACAAGAACTACCGGTTTCCCCGCTATTAAAGGGCGCCTAACCCACCCATAGGTCAAAATTTAGGTGTGGTGTTCCAGTTCTGCATGAGTCAACGATTTTTCGAAACGGTGACGTAGTTAAACGCGTTTTATCATGAAAACGTGCCTATCACTCGCTTTGCTTTTTCTTTTGCTACCTTCCGTTCATTGGCTGGTCTCTTCTCCAACAGCTGCTTTGCCTTTCTTGCTGAGTGCTCCTTCCAATCGCACGTAGCATATGTCATCACCGACGCTCGCAGCTGTGTCCACTTCCGGCCACCACGACTCCCTCAACTGCGTGCTTCTCGGTTACCCGCTGTTGATTTAGGTCGCGCAGCTTAATAGACTGCTAGGCGGGACTGCGTCGCTACGCTAGTGATTTGGCACTTGCGTTACGATCTGCAGTTACCCCTTTTGCAGGCCCCAACACGCGGGTAACACGACGAAGAAAAGCAAAGGATCGTGGGACTGCTTGAAGACAATCTGAAAGTCGTCGCTTCTTGTTCGACCGATCGCAGCACTTATCGAGGAATTTTCGTTAAAGCCAGATTTTATCCTTGCTTTTGTGGCGAAAGCTATACACTGGCTCAAGTTCAGCAGTTTAGTGGGGCTTGCGGTGAACAGTTCTGCGCAAGCGCGAGGAGCAGTGACGTCACGTGGCGCACAGCTGGCGAGGCGGACAAGGCTTGGAAGCTGTTGGAGGGACGTGTCACATGTGGGCTGGGGCTTGACTCGCGTGGGATCGCTTGCTCGCTAGTTCATCCGGCCGTTCGTGTGTCCATCCGTCCGTCTAGCAGTAAGCGTGACAATCAAGCAAATCTTCCAGCCGTCAGTTCAACCGCCCGATCCAAGCAGTAAGCATGATAATCAAGCAAATTCTAGACAACCAGCAAATCTAACAATAATCAGCTGAACCTTAGCTCACCCTACGTATATTCTGGCATAGCCGAGTTAAGCCACTGCAAATTTTTTTTGCTGGGACATTAATGTCTGAAGAACTGTACTATGCCTTAGGTTAAAGTGTAGCAAACTAACAGAATCAGCTAACTGTCAAGTATATCTAGCACTGCAGTATGTGCGAGAATATCGACGAATCGTGCATGGACCGACACCAGCACTGACATTTCGGTGCCCATTCATTTACAGGCGCATATCGGGCGCTATCAATGAAGGCATTAGTCGTGAAGGCTTCTTTCTCGCTTGGAACAGGCGCTAAGTTACAGGCTTGTCCCCTCCCAAGACAATTCGTTAAATCATATGGACCAACGTCAGCACTGACATGATAAGCGATATTTTACATCTATTTTACGAATTCAGTGGTCGTGGCGGCATTGCGGTTAGGATGGGCAAAATGTTGCAATATTGCATGTATACCTCCTCGCAAGACAGCTTGCGCACGTACGTTTGCGTCGCGTGGTTCGACGTCAACACTGGCGTTGGATGAACAGTAGTACATACCCTATACCAAGCACTTTCAGTGAATAGATTGGTCGTCAATGTATCACGGCTCGAATGAGCTCAACAATACGCGTCCGCTTGACAGGCACTGTGCGCACGACCATTTCATTATATCGCGAATCGACATCGGCCTCACAGTCATTGCTGAGCGAAACATCTATCAAGTAAGCGTTTCCACGAATGTGAATAATCGCAACTCCATATGCGTTGTAACTAGCGCAAAGCTATAACGTTGTCTTCTGGAAAGTCTATTTTCGCATGCCAAGGCGCGGGAATTGGCAATTACGCACCGCGCAAGCGTCTTGTTTAATGGATTAGTCGTGGCTGTACGATTGTCACCTCTTGAACGAGACAGCGCACAAGCGTTTAAGCATGGCGTAATTCAGTACCAGCACTGACGTTTGCATGGACAGAGATTATGCTCTACAAATTCCAAAGCCAGCCGGTCTGCACACGTCTACTTGTTCATCGGGTAGATTTGCGAGAACACTCTTAATTCGCTGGGATGTGGCACATGAGTCGGCGAATGACCTTTACTTGACCTTTACTTTAGTGACCTTTACTTTAGTGACCTTTACTTTAGTGATCACGGCTACGCGACAGTTCGAAAGGCTAGATTGCTATACACTGATGTTGCGGAAATCCAGCGGATATTCATCCTTCGCTTCACATGAGGTTTTTTGTACTACGCGCAATAGCGCACAGAAATGGGTAAATTTAACTGTTACCTTGCCTTGCGGTTTACTTAATGTTCGCGTTTACCTTAACCTCGGCGTTTGGACCAAGCTTTTTTGGGTATAAAAGCAAGATACCAGGTAAGAAAGTCTGCTACTTCCCCGACAAAATTGCTTACAATCGCTTTAGATATAGAGCGCGCTATAAACGTGCAGAGCACCTAGAATGTGAAAAACTTGTTGACAACGTATACGTATAAGTTTTGTGTGTTGCGGAGTAACTTGCATGCATCAAACCGCAAGCTCTCGCTGGGCACATGCCTGTGTTTTCCGTATCGTGTGTAGCGGTTGAGTATGGTACTCTGCGTTTTCTCTTTCCTGTTCAATGACGGAACGGTGCTGTTGCCGGTAGCATATTTATCTGCAACTTAATATTATCTTGTTAGAGGCCGCCATGATAGGCGACATTTTGTGTGGCTTTGTTGCACTGGGTTGCTTGCCGTTTCACCTTATCAGCGTCCAAAATAGCTTCATTAAACATGTCATGCAATTTCTATTCACACAGGAAAGTCCCCAAGATCCGCGGTAACCGGTGGCCCAAGTTCACGGCCGAGTGGCCCCTCCTGCTCAATTTGAGCCCGAAGAACTTCACCGTTGGCTGGGAACCGCACGCCGAGAACTGTCGTGCGTGGGAACGCTACCTCAAGGTGACACCGGACAACGCGGTAGCCAGTTGACCGACGACGTAGTCACTGCCGTGAACGAACTTCGAGTGTGCAGGGACAATTCCCGGACATTTGTGGCGAACTGCGTATACGCAGAGCGCGCCTGTTCCGAGTGGTTTGTGTGGTTCCGCTCACTCATTCAGAGCACCACGAGCCTCCGAAACGTCGCCAATCGCCCGAGCCTAGTTTACCAGGTCGACCCCGTCTCCACGTTTAGGGCGTGCTCGACGTTTGTCGAGGGCCCGTAAACTAAGGGCTGTAAACTGCGATTTCACCGACTTCCGATGGAAGCCACAAACTATTCAATACTCGCGCAGGAATGCATTGCATTCCTGCAACTAAAGCTAACGCTGACCGCGACACCTCAGTGGAGCTGTAGGCATAATTTTCGCGAGTGATGGGCCAAACAACGGTCACTCTCAATGACATCGTCGAAAGTGAATTAGTGAGAATGTGTCGTTAACTATTAGAAATTGGAGAAAGGAAGAACAGTGCGTGTTGAAAATTCTACGGTTTTCAGTGGTGCTATGCAGGACTCATTACCTCAAAAGGCGCTGGTGTAGCTTATGAACGAACTGCGATGTCTCTCTCCGAGTGTCTCAGAAGACTAGCGCACAGGCACGTGCACATGTCTTCAAAGCGTCTTTAGTTTGCGATGTTAGACACACCTTTGAGTTCTTCAAAGTAGTTTTCCTTATGGTGTTCATGCAAGTTGTTTATTTTGTCCTTCTTGCCCGTTAAGCAATATGTCGCAGTGAAATAAAATTCCGTTATTTGTTGGAAATAGCGAAACTGAAACGCTCTCGCAGATGATCGTGTCTACGCGAGATCTACCTCCCAGTTCACAGTTTAGGTCAGCGTTGTTCCTCAACGGAACAAGACACCATGATTGAGTCTTCTCAAGACAAAGTGACCACTATCCGCTTTCAGAAGGTGGCGCTGCTACGCACTTGCTTAGTCGAAGGCGTGTCGAGGGAAACGGTACAAGAAGTCAAAGCCTCCATTCTCCGTCATTGCGACAGTTGTTGGCGGCTTGATTACGTTTATGGACACGCGTACTGCGGTGGCTAACCGTATTGTGAGGTCTTGAGTGCGTAGCCTTTTATTTGACTCGAAGTCCCGGCAGTAAACAGGGGCGGTAAACCCGCAAAAATGATGATACATTACGAAGATGAGGACGCATAACCGAACGCATTATGGCGATGAACTTAATGTACACAAAATTCCCACACAAGTTCTCCCCCTGTGAAAGCGACCAGCCTGGTCACTGCAGATCAAGGAGATGAGGAAGGTATGGCTTAATACCATGCAACCGAAGACTGCATGCAGCGTCCACCAGTGCTACCAAAACTAGGTATTCTATGAGCGAGTAAAAATTCATGAATAATAACATAAGCGAAAAATTGTCCTCATATTAACGGTTTACCGTCGATCACTCTCGAGCGGTTAAAGCCACGCGATACCGAAAAAGTAGCCGGACGTGAGATCAAATACATACCCATAAATTTCCTTCGCTTACCATCAGATTAACTATATTCATTTAGATGGCATATTTATTACAAAATGGTGACAGTACGCGAATCACACTTACTTGGACGGTGGCGTCCACTGCATGGTCTCGCCCAACCATGAAATGATTGAGGACAGACTGCCATGTACTCGCCACGTGCAAAGTCTTGCAACTATTAAATACGTCAGTGCTCTAAGCACGTAGTTACGACTATTTCGGCAGGTCATAGCCTAAATGACAATATGTTAACGGTTACACTGTACAACAGCAATAGGTTCACTGACAGTAAATCTGGCGCTACAGTGCTAACGCGTGAAATAAAGCGCATGAAATGAGCGGCACTCCAGGAAAGCCGCCGATGTCCACGGGTGTTTATTAGTTGAAGATCGCCCGGGCCACCTTGTCACAGTCGGCCTCCAGGTATCTGCTGCCAAGCGTCGGTTGGGGGCCGATGCTGAGATAGACTCCTTCGCCCTTCGTGAACTGCGGCCACGTCACGTTGAGCAAGGAGACTGGATCCCTGCGGAGTTTCAGCTTTCGTTCAGCTCTGACTTCAATCGGGGACATCGAAAACAGATTCGAATGCCCCCTGGCCATATCTGCCGGCACGCTTTGTCTAAAAGATAAGAACGGTTGCGTACACACACGCTGCGGCTTGCCCCGGTTTTCTATGTCTTTCTCTACCGAATACCTATCCTGAATACCTTTAGTAGGCAATAAAAATAATGAAGTGCACTATTTCACAAGCGGCAAAGTACAACTCAAGGAGAAATAATGTCAGTGGAAAAAAGGGTAATCGGGTAATCGGGGGGGAGGGGGGATCAAATCACGAGCATTAGTGCAAGAAGGCAGCAGAATCGGTGGCTTGGTGCGTTTTTCACATATATTTACACCAGCGTGCCTCCTGTCTATGCAATAAAATTCCTCACACATCTTCACAGCCGAAATAAAGGTTTAGATTATTTAGCTAAGCTCTTTATGCAAAAGTGAGTGATCCTTGTTAACGATGGGTCGACGTTATATTTGCTGGCTGCCTTCATAATTATTCTGTAGCGCCAGGCATCTCAAAGTGACAAAAGATCATTATTAGATAAGCAATAAGTTAAGATGATTAACTTTTTTGCTTAGACCAAACAGGCGGTTGTGTCCGATTGGGCGATTGAAGCCCTTCACACGGATAACCGATTGCCGCTTGGAGATTTCTAGAAAGCGACTGCTAGTAATTTCAGTGGTGTAATGAAATCGACTGATTCCGCAGAGCTAGATCGAGACAACGCCGACGAGCATGGTTCGCAACCAGGCTCAACAGAAGAAAAGCCTCCGAGGTTGAAATGCCTGCAGAGAATTCATCACAGCGTTTCGCGACTTTCCCGGCAGAGAAAATGCGCATGTTGTCACCAATTTTTTACCGTGGTGTACGACTGAAGTAAACAGCATGCGGCTGGCAGGCTGGCAAATTTTATATCACAATATTAGTAACAAGAGGAAATGGACAAGCAACTCCAAGTATGCACAAGGTATAAAATTTGTGTGTGTGTGTGTGTGTGTGTGTGTGTGTGTGTGTGTGTGTGTGTGTGTGTGTGTGTGTGTGTGTGTGTGTGTGTGTGTGTGTGTGTGTGTGTGTGTGTGTGTGTGTGTGTGTGTGTGTGTGTGTGTGTGTGTGTGTGTGTGTGTGTGTGTGTGTGTGTGTGTGTGTGTGTGTGTGTGTGTGTGTGTGTGTGTACAGAGAGAGAGAGAGAGAGAGAGACATTCTCGAAAAGAGAAAATTAATAAAAGAAAATTTGTGACAAAAAATAAAAAAGCCTATAGCTTTTCAAAATATTGTACTTTTCGAACTGGAACTGTTTTTACGATTTTAACAAAGTTATTTCGGGCATTTCGGACAAAACGGTAAGTCTTTAAAAAATTGTATTTTTTTAGTTGGAAGTGTTTTGTCTGATTCCAATAAAATTAGTTGGCGAATTTCTGACAAGGAAGGTAAACCTTTGCAGAGAAAGGTAAGCCAAGAAGGTAAGCTTTGGAAATATTGTATTTTTTTTAGTCTAAATGTGTTCGCAAGTTTTTATAAAACTAGTTGTGCCAGAATAAGCCTATAACATTTGTTAATAATGAATTTTTAACGCGCAAATCTCTCGTTTTGTAAAATTACTTGGGAGTGCAATTCACACCTGAACGGCGGGTGTACAGCCTTTGAAAACATTTGCAAACAGTACCAGAATGCTTTATTTTGTTTATATGAAATTGCATGCAGGCTACATTCAAGGTGCGCTTGCTTCTCAAGATATATAAAGAGCACGTCTGCGCAGAAAACTGGCAAATTATTCCTAAACGTCCTTGGCACCAAATCGGAAAAACGCAATTCACCCTGAATGAACACCTTCCTTCCAGCGAATGCTGAGAAAGGCCTCGGTTTCTAAAGAACAAAAAAAAAACTTGCAGGACGCTCGAGCTTTGATAAGTATACTCCAGCTTTACCTTTAGGAGTAGAACGCGACACTTAAATTGTGGCCCTTGCGCATCAGCTTCAACAGTACTGCAAGGGAAAAACTATTTGTGCGCGTAACAGGAGCCACTCCAAACTATCCGAGAATGCGTACAACAAGTACAGTTGTGGAGTAGCTACTACGCCATAATTATTCAACCACTGCCACAAATTACGCCGCAAACCTTCAAGTACTGTCGTCGCTCCATGGCAGAACGATTGCTTGCCACGCAGAGGGCCTAGGTTCAATTACCATTCGTACTGAAGTTTTTCTTTTATTATTTATTCACATGCATTATTTTGAATTTCTCTCATGAAACACTCCAAATTTTTTTGCTCACACGCAATCATGCCGTCGGCGACGCCGGAATTCCTGCGAAACAAGTTCTGCAACACCATAACCTTGAAAGAGTATTTATATCAGCTGTATTTTTTACTTTAGTTAAAGTCACAGACACTACGAATTTATATGGTTCAGATATATACACTTTCCAGAAATGCAGGCGTTCTTAGCCAACTTGTCCGTATACATGAATTCTAGTCACTATGTAATTATTCTGCTCGTTACCTCTGTATGTACTGTTTATGCACTGTATCATTATTGTATGATGGGCAAAAAAAGGAGTGACATAGCAAAAAAGCGTTCTTAGCCAAGTGGGTAAAGCACTCGCCTTGTGAGCGTTAGGTTGAGGGTTCAAACCTCCATGACTGAGAGGTGTTTTTTATTAAATAGATGGCGTCTTTTGCATTATGTGACAACCAGACGGACGGATGGACGCGCAGTTCTTCTAAAAGAGTACAAATAAATGTGTACGTGCTTAAAAATTCCGTAACACTTCCATTTTTTATAAAGGCGCATAGAAAATACATGCCACGTACGCTAATTACTTACATAATTATCTGCACGTCTAGAAAGTCCAACGACAAACCATGTCCGAATGTCCTCAGGGTAGGAATGCACGCAAGAACGAGCACAGTTACCTTTCTTTAAAAACCTTCTGCATACTACCGTTCTCGGTGTTTCTGGTTTGGTGCGCTTTCTCAGTCTGTTTTCGCGCATTTCAATAAATGTCTTTCAAGCTTGAAGTCTCCCTGATGCATTCGCTTCCCCGCAATAATCGTCGAAAAGCAGCCGAAAAAGTTGCTGCCCTTATCACTCATGATAAGCCCCAACTTTTAGCTGACGCCACAGCTTCCAGCGACGAGCTAAGTATGCGTATATCTCGAGCCGAAGGTTCCCTGATACGCTTGCTTCCCCTCAATAATAGTCGGAAAGCAGTCGAAAACGTTGAGCACCTTATCACCCATGATAAGGTTCAACTTTTGTCTGACGTCACAGCTTGTAGCGAACACCCAGTGTGCATATTTCCCCGTCCGAAGGTTCCCTGATACGTTTGCTTCCCCGCAGTAATCGTCAAAAAGCAGTCGAAAACGTTGAGGCCCTTATCACCCATGATAAGCTTCAACTTTTGTGTGACGTCCAAGGTGCTAGCGAACACCTAGTGTGCGTATTTTCCAGCCGAAGGTTCCCTGATACGTTTGCTTCCCCGCAATAATCGTCGAAAAGCAGTCGAAAAATTTGAGGCCCTTATCACCCATGATAAGGCCGAACCTTTGTCTGACGTCACAGCCTGGAGCGATCCACCTAGTGTGCGTATTTCCCGAGCTGAAGGTTTCCCGATACGTTGGCTTCCCCGCAATAAGGGTCAAAAAGCAGTCGAAAAAGTTGCGGCCCTTATCGCCCATGATAAGGTTCAACTTTTGTCTGACGTCACACCCAGCATCCTATTCT